TCCATCCATCCACCCACCCACCCATCCATCCATCCACTGAACCCAACCCACCTACCCAACTATTCATTTGTCCACCCACCTATCTACTCAACCATCCATTCATTCATTCACCACTCATCTTTCTGTCCATCTGCCCATTCACCTCATATCTATTCATAAATTCATCCACTATCTATCCACTTACCTACCCAGCTAACCATCCAGCTTTTAATCTATCCTTCCACCCACCCATTCTCTCATATATTCATCTATCATCTGTCCACCCACCCACTCACCCACCCCCTACCCACCCATCTGTTCATCAGTTAGCAGACACCTGTGAAGAGCCTCCACGTTTCAGGAGCTGGTGAAGCACATTCACAACTGCTGCCGCTCGGGCAGGGCTGTGACACTGGGTGAGCTTCTATTCGGGCTCCAGTTGCCTGAAGACTAACAAAGACGACTCCATGAGGATCCTTGAGCTGGACTAGGGCCTGGAAGGCAGAGTGGGAATGGCAGCAAGAAGGCCCACCTGGAAAGAGGGTGGCCTCGTCCAGGGGACTGCACCAGGGCGGACCTCACTGTGGTCACTACAGGAGTGGACAGGAGTCATGGCCACCACGAGGAGGATGGCCTCATCCATGGGACTGCGGTGGGGGACCTCACTGTTTGGTCACTACAGGAATCATTGCCACAAGGAGGGTAGCCTTGTCCAGGGGACTGCACCAGGAGAACCTGTGTAGTCACTACAGGAGTGGACAGGAGTCATGGCTGCCATGAGGAGGTGTGGCCTTGTCCAGGGAACTGCGCCAGGGAGGAGACTTACTCAGAAGTGGTCAGTAGTGACTGTTGCCATGGGGAGGGATGGGCTAGAAATGAAGACATCAGAGACACCAAAGAACAGAACATTCTAGAAACAATCTTGGAAGCTGTATTGAGGGAGTGCCAGTGGTGAGCTTGGGCTCAGGGGTGGGAAGACGGCTGGAGGAAAGAACAAGTGGTGTGAATGGTTGGATCTGGGCGAGGAAGGTGGAGGTTGAGGGGTGACTCTGCTGTTTGAAAACCACAGTATCTACCTTGGTGGAAATAAGGAACCCAACTTTGGTGGGAGGGTCATAAGTGTGATTCTGGGCATTTCCTGGGCCCCTGGACATCCTCAGGTGGCCAGTCCCAGAAGGACATGCCCTGGCCCACCTTCTTCCTTCTTGGGTAAAAGTCACTGAGCTTAGAGTCGCAGGACTCGGCCCAGCAGGTGCACGTTGGCCCGGCCGTCCCCGTCGGCCTCAGCTGGGCTCAGGCTGGCAGGCTCTTGGGCTCATCCGGCGACAACGTCATCAGCTTCGTCACGCAGAGCAAGATGAGTGTGAGGAACCACAGGCCCCAGCCCACGGCGGCCGCGATCCAGCCTGACTCGTCCACGCCCGCACGGCAGCACCGGGCAGCCAGCGGGCAGTAGTCCACGTCTAGGGGACAGGAGAAACATGAGGTCAGCACTGGTCCCTTATCTAATGCTATCCCCCCCCCCCAACACACCAACTCACAGCGACCCAGCAGGACAGGCTGGAACTGCCCACGGGACCCATGGCTGTCCTCTGGAGGGAGTCCACTGCCATGTCCTTGTCCTTCACAGCGACTGGTGGTTCAAACCACTGACCAGTTAGCAGCCCAGCACTTAGCCCGTAGCGCCACCAGAGCTCTTATTTGGAAAATATATCACCAGCTGTGATGACGTGGGAGTTCACGGTCCCTAAAAATGAAAGCTGCCGCTGACAATTCCAGCCCCCCACCCCCGTGGGCTTCACAGTAGGAGTGTCTCTGGGGGCTCTCGGCTGCCCTCTCACAGATGCCGCTCTCCACTGGACTCTTACAGTACCACTAGGTGGATTTGAACCACCAACCTTTCAGCAAATGACCAGCGATAGCCACCCATGCTTGCAGTTAAGTGCTGGGCTGCCGACTGAAAGGTGGTTGAGTTTACCCAAAGGTGTCTTGGAAGAAAGGGCTGGCATTTACTTCTGAAAACGTGGCCATTCAAACCCTCGTGCACAAGATCTCCTCAAGGAGACGCCTAAGTCTGGACCAACTGGCCCCAAAGCAGAGCTATGCACTGGCTCATTCCCACTTAATCTTGCTGAGAATTTGTGTTTCCACCTGTACAGAGTTAGAATCTGTAGTTTAGTGGTTTCCCGAGTGATGATGTGTGGGGAAGGGATGGGTGTTGTATTAAGGACAGACAAGAATCATGAGGGGCTTACAAGGGTCACCTGAGAGCAAGGACGCTCACCTGGGGAGCTTGTCAAAATGCAGATTCTGACTCAGAGCTGAGCACAGAGCTGCCTCGCCCCCCCCCACACCCCGTTTCCTGGAAATCCTCATGGAAGGAGACTGACTCGCCTTTATCCTACCAAGAGACTGGACAGCTTGAACTGCTGACCTTTTGGTCAGCAGCCCAACACCACTAATGTACTACACTGTCAGGACTCTCCTTTGGATTCCTTGTACGTGGGGTGGAAATGCAAATTCTCAGCAGGTGTGGGCCGGGATGAGCTGGTTCGAGCCCTGATTTGAGCCCTGAGCACCTGTCAGTGATGACTCCCCGGGGCAGGTGAGGTCAAGCTGTCCTCCTAACCGGCTCTGCAAACATCCTGGGGCCGTGAATGACACGCAGCCTGCACAGACGGGCCAGCAGACACTGGGCCACCGACACCAGCCCCCTGACAATACAGGAGGCCAGGCCTCTCTGATGAGCTGAGGTCTAGGGAGTGGGCAGGACGTCTTACTGTGGCACTGCTCCAGGGTCCGGGTGGTGTCCGGGTGATGGCCAGGCAAGGCCGAGGTGTTGGTGCCAGAGTCTGGAAGACAAGACGGGGACCATGTCAGGGAAGATCCTTTCAAGCTTCCGAGCTCTTCTCTGCAATCGGCAGTGTTTACAGGAAGTTCCAGCATTGCTGCGGGAGTCTGTGGCGATGTGAATGGTAGGTGTGCCCAGGTGGCTCGTGGAAAGGTTAGAGCTGTCAGCCCTCCAAACCCACCTCGTGGGGCCCTGGTAGGTTAGTGGGCTCTTAACCAAAGGAGTTCAAACCCACCAGCCGCTCCGCGGGAGAAAGGTAAGATCACCTGTTCTGTAAAGGCTTGTAGCCTTTTACCCCTGTGATCAGTCCCACCGGGTCCCACATCGTTATGAGCCAGAATCAACTCAACAGCAGTGGGCCTGGCCTGTGGTTTTACTGAAGGTTCCTCGGAAGAACAGCCTGGAGGTTTCCTGGTGGAAAAGCAGCCACTGAAACCCTGCGCTGAGTCGTTTTGCTCTGACACTTATGTCACCTCATGAATTGGGGTGGACTCGGCTGCAACTGGTTGTTTGATTCCAGGTATATAAACAAGACAAGAGCTCCCCGCCGCTGAGTTGCTTCTGACTCCGTCAGCCTCTCCCAGGCTTTCCAGAGCCGTGAGTCTTGGGAAGGTGGAGGGTCAGCAAATGAGAGGAGGCCCTCAGCCACGTGGGCTGACACAGGGCCTGCAGCGATGGGTTCAGGTGTGTCAGAGACGGTGAGGTCGGCACACGGTAGGTCAGAGGTCAGATCTGTTGTTCACCGAGTCGCTGTGAGTCGAGCTCAACTTGACAGCACGTAACAACAACAAGAAGTCTCTAGGGAGACTTTCCCCTGTGGAGAGCCTCACACGGCTGAACTTGCCATAGCAAACCCATCCACTATGCAGCCAGGACCCCTCCTGACAGTGCATTGAGGTTTATTTAACAGAAATGGAGCCCCTACTCTCACTCAGGGCCACTTTTTCTCTGCACTTCTGGGAGCTAGGGCGTGCCGGGTTGCTCACGTATAGCGGCTTTTCCAGTATATAGTAACACACCCTCCTAACAATGTTGCACGTTCACCTAAGAGTCTCTGGTTCCCTGCAGACACTTGCACAAACACACACTGAAACCTAAGCTGAGCGTCATTTCTCCCAGCCACGAGGCTGGCCTAGTGCCTTACCTGTTGGGCTGCTAACTGAGAGGTCAGTGGCTTGAATCCCAGCCCTGCCCCACCGCTCCGTGAAAGAATGACGAAGCAGTTCGCCCTTGTATGGTGGATTTACGACCTCAGAAACCAGACGGAGGGGCGCCGTGAATCTGGGCTGACTCGATGGTGCCGGATCTGATTAACCAGACACACGGTGATGAGCAAGTGTGGACGGCGTGGGCATCCGGCCTCGCTCACAGAGAAGAGGGTGGAGATGGGAGCGTCGGTGAGAACCTTCGAGGTCCATGAGTGCTTGCAGGTGGGGTTGTGCAGGTAAACATGAGCGCACAGGGCATCCTCTGCTCCCCCAACGCTGAGAAGGGGCCCATGTGGGCGCACACTGTCCACCCCAGAGGACACTCACCATCTGCTGCTGTTCAGATGTATTCAGATTAGGCGACTCGGTCACATTAGCCACATTTCAAGTCCTCACTTGTCAGGTGGGGGCCAGTCCTTGGAAAAAGGCAGCGAGCTGGGAAATGCGGAGGAGGGTCAGAAAGGAAGACCTGTCCCAGCCAACGAGACAGATTGACAGTGACTGTTACAAGGGTTCAAGGACACTGGAGAGTACGAGGATGGCACAGTACAGGGCAGGGTTCTCATCTGTTATAAGGTCCCTATGGTCATAGTCATCTAGATGACACCTAACAACAATGGTCACGCACAACTTTCATTTTCTTTTCAGTGAGTTTTCTTTTCGGCCTTTAAGGAATCAGGTCCTGCCGTGGGCTTTGCGGGTGGTGGTGGGGCAGCACCCACAGGTCTAACCCTGAGTGGGGTGTCCATGCTTCCGGGCTTCTCGAGAACGCCCCTCACCTCCTTGCTGTGAACGGCACAACTCTCACACGGCGCCGTTTCACACGGAGCTTTGGGAACACAGATGAGTTGAAGACACTGGCTTTGGGACGGTCCCTGATGGCAGCTGCCTCTGGTGTCTTTCGAACTTCAATCTTCTACTGCCTTGTCTTTGGGTGCAGCGGGTGCGGTCGGTGTAGTCTTTGCTGCACTTGGCCGTGGCCGTTTTTGCACGACCATTGTTTCTCCTCTTTGTTGTCTTGGAAGCGAGGGCCCGAGAGAGGAAGCGTCACATGTTATTGTTGTCCACAAGTCAGTTCCAGCTCCTAGCGACCACAGGTGACAGAGAGCTGGCCTCTCTCAGAGAGTTTCCCAGCTATAAACTTTATGGCCGAAAATAAGTAGATCTTCTCTCCAAAGGAGCTGGTGGGTGGATCAGAACCAATGGCTTTTTGTTTAGGAACCAAGGAACATGGAGAAATAGAGAAATGGAGCATTTCTATGAGCAGAGGAAGTTCTCTCACACAGTGGTGATCTCACTAGTCGCCCTCAGAATGGATTACACTCTAACATAAACCTCCGCACCAGTGGGCCAATAAGCAGCATCATGATAAACCAGAAAGAAAGGGCGGCAGTTGTTGGGGCTCCACTTTACTTGGATCTGTAATCCACATCCAGGGAGGCAGCAGTCATCAAAAGACACCTTGCAGTGGGCAAATCTGTGTCCAAGGGTTTATTAAAGAGCTAGAGAGTAAGGATGCCAGTTTATAGACTTAAGATGCGCCTGACCCAGGCCATCGTGCTGTCAAGTGCTTCATATGAACATGAAAACTGGATGGTAAATAAGGAAGCACAAAGAATTGATGCCTTTGAATTGTGAAATTGACCAAAAGTACTGAATTATACCATAGATTGCTGAGAGAATAAACACATCTGTCTTGGAAGAAATGCAACAAAAATGTATCTTAGTAAGGGCAATATACAATAAGAGTTTGAGGAAACATTGTAATTAATAGCATTAATCAATTGGTAATGTTATAAAACAAAAGGTGCATGAATGATTGAATGAAACCAGTATAATTTGTAATCTTTCCCTCAAAGAACAAGAAACCATGAAAGACAAAAGACTGCTCCTTAGAAGCAAGGATGGTAATTTGTCTCATGGACTTGGGGTATGTTATCAGGGGAAGCCAGGCCCTGGTGAAGGACATGGTGCTTAGAAAGGTGGAGGGTCAGTGGAAGAGAGGGAGACCAGGAGCTGGATTGGCACAGGAGAGGTGGCGAGGGCTGGATCAGGCAGGGCTTGGTTCAGCTGGACATGGGTTTGCTATGAATTGGAGCCAGTTCGAGGAGCTGATTCCAAGTCACAGTGCTGGAGACCCTGAGCAGTGCATTATAGTTAAGACACTCGGCCACTGACCAAAACACTGATGGCTCAAGTCCACACAGAAGCACCTTGGAGGAAAGGGCTGGTGGTCGGCTACAAAGCATCGGTCCCTGCATCCTCTCAGAGTGCACATCTCGGACACGCAGGAGTCACCAGGAGTCAGAATCGACTCCCTGCTGCTGGTTTTAATCTAAGGACCCAGTCCGGGAAATGAGTTTTGCAGCATCTTTCTGGACGCGACCAAGAGGGTCTGAAAATTCCCCAGGGTGCTGTGAAAGTCAGCCTGTCCTTCAAAGGCCCTAGTCACCTGGCCAGACACATTAGGAAGAAATTTCTTGCTTAGACCAAGTCATGAGACTGGTTTCAAGCCGTTCAAGCCCAGACCACTCTGACATCCTGTAATTGCTGCGATGCAATCTGTGACTGTAAATTATTTACCACCAAATAGCTTACTGCTTGGGTTTATTTGCTTTGGAGAAATTGACTCCTCCACATTTGAATTTTCCTTCTAACCTGAATGACTTCCTTGCCTCTTGTTTGCATTTTGCTCCATATACATGATTTCTCTCTGGAGGAAGTGAATGGAAAAAACCCCAGCTAATTGGATTAGTAGCGTAGAGAGTCTTAATGGCACAGTGGTCAAACGTTGGGTTGTGAATCAGGAGGTTGGCAGTTCAAAGCCACTCAGAGGCTCCCCAGGGGCCCATGCTGCTCATCTGATTCCATAAAGATGCAGTAGGGGACCCCATGGGCCACTCAGTCATATGCCGGTTTCCTGTGCATTTAAAATGGACTGAGGTCACCCAAGTACACCAGGTAAGTCATACAAGGCCGCTGTTCTCACAGGTCAAAGATCGTCTGACCTCAGCATCTGTATATGGTTTCAGCCAAACGGCTCAGCTGAAGATTGTTAGCAATTTCTGCATCAACTTCATTCCCTCAGTTCGATTCTTGGCCCCTGTGTTCCCCAAGTGCCCAGGAGGCTGGCATGTTGCTAGAATGCTGAACAGGTTCCAGCGAAGCTTCCAGAACAAGTGGGACTAGGAAGGAAGGCCTGACAGCTTGCTTCTCAAAACTTGTGTGTCTTCGAGTCAGAATCAGCCCATAGCTGACCCTCCAGCAGGTTTTCAGAGGCAGTTAATCATGCGGGAGGAGACGGCCTATCTTTCTCGTGAAGCAGTTGGTGGATTTGAATGGTGTGCCTTTGGCAGGGCAACTTCTGACCTCTAAACGATCAAACTGACCGATGACAAAAACCCTGTAATCACATATCGCTAACCAAGTGGTCAAATGTGGGCGTGGCATCAAGCTGGGCAGTGTCCCTTCTGTAATGCAAAGGTCCTTGTGGGTCAGGGTGCCCAAACACAACCCCTCCTTCATCAGAGGCCTCTTTCATGTAGAGGCTGCTGGGAGACCCAGCCATCCAGGGCCTTTAAATATGCTCAATCTTTGTTATGTCCAGTCTAACACAAACTGGATCCTGGGAGGTCAACAGAAAGAAATAACACCCTCAGCCAGAGGGGAGATGTTAGAAAGAAAGTGGACAGGACACCACAATGGCTGACACGCTGACCTCATGCACCTGTGAGCATGGAGGGAGGAGGGAGGTGGACCGGGAGAGGGACCAGCCTGGGGACCTGACTTCGCTCTGCTGTGTTCCGGGAGTCGGCAGTACCTAACAATAGCATTTATATTTTGGAAGGCAGTACTCTTGTCATTCATAGCTCAACACGTTGCCGTTGGGTTGGACCCAGATCATAACTGACCACCACAGCCTCGGATTTCTGGGGCTGTAAATCTTGGGAGGCGATTGCCCATTTCTGTCCCTTTAAGCAGTTGGTGGGTTTGAACTGCCAGAGAGGAGTGCAGCGCCCTGTGGCCGAGGCCACCACACTAAAACTAATCTCTCTGATGATCCCTGCTCTGAGGAGCCCAGTAGCACAGCGGTTAGAATGCTCAGCTGGAACCCTGAGGTCAGCAGTCTGAATCCACAGCAGCTCTCAGGCAGGAAGATGAGTATTTGGTATAAAGACGACAGTCTGAAAAAACCGGTGGGGCTGTTCTGCTCTGTCCTATCGGTGTCCCATGAGTAGGAATCTGCTCACACTCAACAATCAACGAACAAATCACAGCAGAGGAACAGAGAGAGGGGCTGAGCGATTTGGCCAAGGTCACACAGGGAGGCAGTGTGGCGGCCAGTGGCCTTGAGCTGCTCCACCGCCTGGGAGTTCCTGGCAGGAGCTGGGAGAGAGGAGCAGAGAGGGTGACCAGGCTGAAGAGGCTGGGCTGCACGCTGAGGGGGCTGCAGAAGAAGAACTAGGCTGAGGCAAGACCGGGCAGGAGTGCAGCCCAGGCCCCTCAGGGGCAGAGCCCAGCCTGGGAGAGAGGCAGGGGATTCCTGAGGTGAGGCAGGGTGAGGTGAGGTAGGGTTGTCTCCCACCACATTTCCCAGGGAGGGGGGATGGACCAAACGGGGTCATTTCTGGGGCTGAGGTGGATGAGGGTGCAGGGGAATAGGGAGGTCAGGACAGAGGGAAGGGAAGGAGATGGGGGGACCACCCCCCAGCTTGTCAGGGAGAAGCAGCCAGAGGCAGCTGCAGATGACAGAAGCCCCTTGAGTCCATTTGCCTCCCACCCCCACATGGGGAAGAGTCTGAAAACTGCTCCCTTCCTCTTAGGCCAACCCAGCTGGCCGCTGCCATCCTACATGAGAGCTAAGTATGTGATCTTGGTGGTAGGGACAAGTAAGACACCCCCATTTCCTCTTTCCTTGTGGAGGACTGTTCTGGCCCAGAAGTCCTGCCTCTGCTCCCCTCCCTCCTTCCTCTTCCCTCCCCCTCCCAGCACTTGGAAGAAAGCTCACAATCCTACCTGCCAAGCCGGCTGAGTAGAAGCAGAGGAAGAAGAGGCTGAGGGTCAGGGTGGCCCTGTGCACGAGGGCGTGGCCCTTCCCACAGGTGAGGGAGGCGGCCGTCAGCACCATCGCTGCTGGTGAGGAGCTGAGTGTGTCCCGTAGGCGTTTGAGTACAACTGTCCAGGTCTCAGGTGAGCTTCTGCTCTGTGTTTGGGGAAGGAGAGGGGGTGGAGCAAAGTCTGTCAGAGCAGCTCTCACCTGGGCTGGAGGAATGGGGAGGGTCTGGGGAGATGGAGGGGAGGGACATTTCATGGCACTCTTTCTGGAGCTCAAATTTTATCCCCAGAAAAAGAGGGGAGGGAGGTGAGGGGAGGGACATTTCATGGCACTCTTTCTGGAGCTCAAATTTTATCCCCAGAAAAAGAGGGGAGGGAGGTGTGTCCTGCTGGCTCCTGGTGGACACTTCCCCTCCTGGATGTGGCCCTGGACCCCTCTCCCACTCACCCACTGTTCACTGGGCTCTTGCTGACCCAACACTGTGTCACCCCTGGCACTTCTCCCTAGAGCAGCTTCAGTGACAGGCACTGGGCAGTCACTGCAGGAGCCACTGGACAGCGGGAGGAGGTGCCCCGAGGTACAGCATGCTTGGAGCCTGAACAGCAACAGGCCGCCTCTGCTGAAGGCAGCTTCCAGACAAGAGGGTGTTTGGGCTGGGTCCTGAAGGATGAGTAGGAGTTTGACAGGCAGAGAGAAAAGAGAGCCTCTCAGGGAGAAGTGGCCATAGACCTGGTGGGGCTCAGAAGTCCATTGTTCTGCAGCCCAGGGTGGAGGTGAGAACAAATGTGGGGGTGGGGGAGGCTGGACACCTGGGGCTGGCTGGGGAGTTTGAAACAGGAGACAAAAGGGGAACTTGTCAAGGATCAATGTGGTTGGAGCTGGACCTTAGGAATGGCCACTGACAGCCAACCACCTGTCCGTTCCCTCTCAAACAGACTTACAGCCTTGAACACACAATAGAGGGTTGATGAGAACCAAAATCCACTCGACTGCAGTGGGGTTGGGGAGGATGACCACATAGACGAGGGCCAGGCCTGGTGGTGCAGTGTAATGTGGTCTGGGTCCACCAGCTGTTCTGAGGGAGAAAGTGGAGGCTGTCTGGTTCTGTGAAGATTCTGGCCTTGGAAGCCTGAGGGGGCAGTTCTCTGTGGTCACCATGAGTCAGGATAGACTCAGCAGCACCCGGTAAACAAAGGCATTGACGTTTATACAGAAAGATGGGAGCTGACGGTCTTCTCATGGAAAAGGAATAGCGTGTATAAAACGAATATGGGTGTTTGTGAAGCACAAACTGTGTGTGTGCGCGCACGCGCGCGGCGTTAAGGTAGTGGGAGACAGCTGAGTGAGCACCGAGTCAATGAAGCGATGGAGGGACGAAGTCCACGCTGCGTGGTTGTGTGTTAGGTCTAACGTCTGCTGCGAGGGGGCCGTGGTCTTAGTTGCCTCGGGGTGAAGCTGGCCCTTACACTCGTGCTGTGAGGACTTGGTGCAGGGTGGGAGTGCTTTAGGAAAGCTAATTCAGGCAGCATGGGAAAGTCCAGCTAAGCTTTCACTCAGCTAGAGGGCTGTAGCAGCCAGGCCTGGGACACAGGGGTCCAGCAGGATGAGATTCCCTGATGCTTGTTCTCAGAGTCTGGTCCAGTGAGGGAGGTGGACAGATGCATAAAGACCTCACAGTGAGACAGGTATGTGATTGAGGGATGTTGTGTACTAGATTAAGTGTTGGGCTGCTAACCTAAAGGTTAGAAAGTTCGAATCCTCTAGGCTTTCTGAGGGAGAAAGATGAGGTCATCTCCTCCTGTAGGACTGATGCCCTCAGACACCCTGCAGGACAGTCCTGCTCTGTCCCCCAGGGTCACTATGAGGTGGCATTAACTTGATGGCAATCACTTCTACAAAGAACCAGAGAACCTTGGGGAAGAGTTATGGGCTGGGAGACTCCCAGAATATTCAGGGGCGGGTGGTGCCCTGACTTACAACCCAGGTGGTCAGTGGTCCTACAGGCAGGGGAGAAGGAAGAGCAGCCAGCCTGTTCCAGGCTCCAAGGCGTAGACGCGTGCCCCTGAGCTCAGGAGTCCTGAGAAATCTACTGTCCTGGGAGTGGGGGTCGCTTTTAGTAGCTCCCTGGTAGAATTCTCTCCTGCCAAGCCAGAGGCCCATGTTCAGTTCCCACTAACGCATGTCGTGCACAGCCACCACTTACCTGTCAGAGGAAGTTCTGTGCTGCTGGGATGCTTAGCAGGTTTCAGGCCAGCTTCCAAATGGAGGTAGACTAGGAAGAAATGCCTGGCCATCTCCTTCTGAAAATCAGCCAGTGAACACCCAGTGGACCAGTGTTCTGACTCACTGTACTTCGTTCACAACTGCATTGCTCCATGGTGTACAGTCTTTCCGTGAGCACTGGCTCAGTGACCCCCTGAATAGGGGTCTTTCTGAGGGGACCAATGACACCCCACAAATAGTACATGTGCATGAGGTCTTCCCACAGGCTGACTCAGTGACCTCAAATAGCACATGGGATTGGGATCTTTCTAGGGGGCTGGTCAGTGACCTCCTGAATAGCACTTGGGACTGAGATCTTCCATGGGCTGGTTCACTGAACCCCTGAGGAGTGTGTGTGCACAGGGTTTTGGGGAGGGCTGGCTCGGTGACCCCTGAGTAGTGTGTGGGACTGGGGTCTTTCTGGGGGCCTGGCTCAATGACCCTCTGAATAGCCTGTGTTCACAGGGTCTTTTTAGGGGGACTGGCTCAGTGACCTTCTGAATAGCATGTGTTCACAGGGTCTTTTGGGGGGCTGACTCATGACCCTCTGAATAGCATGTGTTCACTGGGTCTTTTTAGGGGGGAATAGTGTGTGTTCACAGGGTCTTTTGGCGGGCTGACTCATGACCCTCTGAATAGCGTGTGTTCACAGGGTCTTTTTAGGGGGCCTGGCTCATGACCCTCTGAATAGCGTGTGTTCACAGGGTCTTTGGAGGGCCTGGCTCAGTGACCCTCTGATTAGTGCATGGGACTGGGCACCAGCTTGAATGAGTGAGCAGAGGCGTGGCCGTGGTTGGGTGCCGCTGCATCAATTCCGACCCACAGTGACCCTTCATACCTCAGGATGAAACCCCGTCTAACCCTGTGCCGTCCTCATCCTCCTCATCTCTGCTCTGCCCTTTGTTGATGTCACGGTACCGGGCCATCTCCCCGAGCGTCTTCCTCCATCCCCCTGACCCTCCACTTACCCACATGTGCTACCCTTCTCTGTGGGCCGGCCCTCCTGACAACGTGCCCGAATGTGGAGCGTGAGACCAAGTGTCAGCAGGTGGCTTCTAAGGAGCATTCTTCGTACACTCTTCCAAATCAGACTGGTTTGTTCTTTTGGCAGTCCACAGGACACCTAATACTGCTCACTGACACCACGCGTCAAAGGCATCACCTCTTCTCCTGTCTTCCGCATTCGCTGTCCAACCTTTGCGTGCCAGAAAAGTAAGCTGCACCCGCTGCTGGGGAGTGCACCCCCACTCACTGCCCACTGCCCATTGTGTTTCTGAGGCTTGACGTTTTTACAAGACTAAACTGTCCATCATTCTCTTGTGGAACAGCTGGTAGATGTGAGCCACAGGTCTTTTTTGTTAATAACATGACATGTAACACACTGTGGCATCGAAGCTTTTGCATATGTTGTTGTTGTTATTATTATTATGTGCTGTTGAGTCACCTGCAACTCATAACGACCCTATGTACAACAGCCTTAAATCCTGCTCTATCCCTTGCCAATCTTATTGTCTCTGACATGCCTATCACCATTACCCCAGTGACTGGATCAATCCGTCTCATCGAGGGTCTTCCTCTCCTGTACTGTCCCTCCACCCTCCCAAGCATGACATCCCTCTCCATGGACTGATCCCGCCTTGCAACATGTCCAAAGTATGTCAGATGAAGCTTCAGAGTCCTTGCCTCCAAGGAGCAGCCTAGCTTCACCCTCTCCAGGATGAACCTGTTTGTTCTCCTAGCAGTCCATGGCATATTCTATACTCTCCTCCAGCACCACAGCTCAAAGACATCAACTCTCCTTCCATCATCTCTAGTCATTGTCCTGCTTTCTGATGCATAGCAAGTATTTACAAAGACCATGGCCTGCATCAGGTGCCCCTTAGTCTCCAGACTGACATCATTGCTCTTCAGTACTTTAGGGGAGTGGTCTCTGACAGCAGACTTTTTCAATGCAATTCGTCTTTTTAAATTTCCTGACTGCTGGTGCCAAGAGTGTTGATTGTAGAGGCAAGCAAACTGAAGCTGTCAACAATCTCAATCTCTTCCTCATCTATCATGATGCTACCAATGGCCCAGTGTTGAGAATCTTTGTTTTCTTGATGTTGAGCTTCAATCCATATTGAAGGCTGCAATCCTTGCCCCTCTGCAGCAAGTGCTTCAGGTCTGTCTCAGTTTCAGCAAGCTGGGTTGTGTCATCTGCATAACGCAAATTGTTGATGAGTGGTAGATTTGAACCTCCAGCCTTTCACTTAGCAGCCTGGCACCTAACCACTACACCACCAGGTCTCCTGGGAGGTTTGCGCTGAATAGTAATAACATCATCATCATTAGAGCCTGCTAGCCCACTGCTGCTGAGTCAATTCTGACTCAGTGACCCTCCATTGGGTTCAGAAGCTTTAAGGGAGGGGACAGCCCGTCTTTCCCACTCAGAGCTGGAGATTCAAACCCCTAACCTTCACATTAGCATCAGAGAGCACAGTGCACTAACCACCAGAGCCGCATTGGCATCACGGGCATCACGAATGGGAGGAAGGGAAGGCAGTGGTGAAACCAGTACCGTTTATGTTCTGGCTTGTTTACATTCTGCCTTGATCCAGAAAAGATTTAAGGAAGCCTGTCTACACTTAATTGAGCAAGACAAAGTGAATTTAAATGAGGACAGAAATGAGGCAAAGAGCACAATAGAATAGGGAAGACAAGGTGGATCCATGAATAATTCCCTGTCCAATGCCAGGCACTTTTCTCTGTGCTTCCTGATAGCCCGTGTGAAGAGGGAAACATGATCGCACCGTGATTCTTGCGCTCCAAAG